TAAAAAAAACGATTATGCTCGTTATTGTACAGCACTGCTAAAGTTATGGTTGAGGAGACACTTTCATTATATACACTCATATTCTATAGCTTACAACTTTCTACAGAAATTACCCTTTTGGGTGAAATATTTCTTGTTCTCAGCCCAGAGGTGAATTAGTTTGGGAAGTATGATAAAATTCTACTACTTCATAGCCACGTACCACAGTCACTGTTGCAAGCCAGCAGTTGGAGAGTCTTTTTGTTAAAACTTCCAAAGGAGCTAACGCTTCAGGGCTTTGTCCCAAGATTAGGCCACATACACAGGACCTCACCCCACACTCCTGTGGACTCCAGGACATCTGCTCTGGATCCATTGCTCTGACTCTTATAAGGGCTTTAGGTGGCCAGCTCAGGTACAGAAACCTTTCATCCAAATCCTAAAGGAAAGCCTTCCATTCTCTCCCTCCACAGCAACGATGCCCATCACCCATGTGGGGCAATTTCTTGGGAGATGTTTGTTCCTGTTCTGCTGAGATGAGGGTTACCCAATCTAAATGCCTTGCTGGTCTGCCACAGTGGGAAAGCTAAATATTTCAGGCTTTTCTTACACCTTTTATGGACTTGCCGCCATGCCAAATTAGCAGCCTCCTCGCACACTGTCAATGTGTGCTTGGATTTGTTCTTTGCTCTCACCTTGTTGGGTTCTCTTTCCACAGTTTATTAGTCTAATACCAGTCAGAGCTCCCTGTTTGGATCCTTGTTCCTAGCATCACACGTTAGATCTATTAGCAAGAAACCAACAGATAATACTGTTTACAGCTTGGCTTTGTCCTCTCCCCTTGCTGGAGGGGGCAACAAGAAATAACATGTGATCGATTCATTCTCAGCCCATGCCTGCAGCACCTGATTCTGAAGAGTAGGAAACCATATAAAGCTGTTTATAATACAGGGATCAGATCTCTAAACCTCACAACAGGTTGTGGATGGCAGGTCTGTTTTCTCCGTAGAAGGGTCAACTGTTATCATAGCCTAATGGAGTTCGGCTTTCAGAGAGATGGCAACATTTGGAACAAGAACTGCTGGCATTCCTAATGCTGGTAGGGTATCAGTAGTATCGGCTAATTTATGTTTCTTGATCATGCTGGGAAGATAGCTCTTCCTGGTAGGCATGCATATAACAGAAAAAAAAAAAAAAGAGGATTGGCAGCTCTGGACACATCAAGCACTCGCTCCTCTTTTCATAGCTGCCAGAAATTCCTGCCTCAGGCTTAGGTATACTTGCATGTTTATCTCAATTTTGCAGCCTTTTTTTTTTTTTTTTTTTTTT